TAGTAGATGAAAATAATGGAATACTCCGTGGCTATAAAACAAGAACAAGATCGGCTGGGCACGGTGGCTCAAGCCTGTAATCCCAGCACTTTGGGAGGCCGAGGCAGGTGGATCACAAGGTCAAGAGATCGAGACCATCCTGGTCAACACCGTGAAACCCCGTCTCTACTAAAAATACAAAAAATTAGCTGGGCATGGTGGTGCGTGTCTGTAATCCCAGCTACTCAGGAGGCTGAGGCAGGAGAATTGCCTGAACCCAGGAGGCGGAGGTTGCGGTGAGCCGAGATCGCGCCATTGCACTCCAGCCTGGGTAACAAGAGCGAAACTCCGTCTCAAAAAACAAGAACAAGATCATTTTCTTTGCAGCAACATGGATGGGAGCTAGAGACCATTCTCCTTAGAAACTAATGCAGAAACAGAAAACCAAATGCATGCTGTCATTTATAAGTAAGAGCTAAATAATAACAACACATGGAGACAAAGAGGAACAACAGACACTAAGGCCTAGTTGAGGGTAGAGTGTGGGAGGACAAAGATCAGGGAAAAAAATACCCATTAGGTTCTATGCTTAGTACCTCAGAGACAAAATAATCTACACCAAACCCCCATGACACTATTTTACCTATATAACAATCCTTCATGTGTACCCCTGAACCAAAAATAAAAGTTAAAAAAGATCCATGGGTAGGGGAGAGTGCAATGTAGGTAGGACAGGTTTGTGCTACAGGTAGTGGTCCAGGTGGGGGCTGTCCTTTGATTTATTCACGGCCATGCAGGCAGATGATATTATGAACAGGTGGTGTAGAGCCCTAGGTTGGTGAAGAAAGCAGGTTACTGCTGCAGATTCAGTGTCTGAGAGTGGGGATATATGAAGAGATGTGTAGAAACTTTTGCAGGCAAGAAATAATAGGTTCAAAAATGCTGCGGTGAAATTCCTGAGGGTGGTGCCTAGTCCCGGGAGGGGTGTGGACACATCAGTGTCTAGTGGTTATGTTTGTGAGTGGGTGGGAATCATGTGGTGGCACCTACAGGAAAAGGGTGTCTGTTATCAGAGCTTCTTTCCTCTGCATTTTCAGTCCTCTCTCACCATAGCAGGAGACCTGGAATCCTGAGACAATGGGCAGTGTTACAGCCTGTGTACAGGAGAGCAGAGCCTCCCATTCCCAGACACCCAGAGTTCCATTCCAGGCCAGGCCTCTGTGGTATCTTTCTTCTGGCCCCAAATCTGTAGATTGGTGAACACCAAGCAATTCTCCAACACCAACTCATTTTCTAGTGTTTGTATTCTGACACCATCCAGAGTCAGCAAGCATCCTGATTCAGGGCACAGTCCCACAACACTGTCCTCACTGCAGATCTCAGCCACTAAGCTACTGCTTAAAAAATGGGGACTCCCATAACCTCCCTCCAGTTCAGTAATTTGATAGAGCTGCTCACAGACCTCAGCAAAACACTGTACTTAACATTGACCAGTTTATTATAAATGATACAACCCAGGAAAAGTCAAGTAGAAAAAATGTATAGGACAGAAAAAATATGTGGGAAAAAATGAAGCACAAAGATAATCCTGGTAAATAGCTGTGATTAATAAAATCCTCCATCCTTTGTGTTCTCCAGGAACAGTTTGTGGAAAGAAACACCCTTCCCATTATGACTTAGATGGTGCTCTCTTTTCTTACCTATCACATAGCCAGATACAGACTGAACATTTTCTTTTTCTCATTAAAAAGTCAGCTGAATTTGGCTTCAGTGGTCAAAAACAAAATACTTTTTAATCAAACTTAAGTTTATCACCTTCCCACAGACTCCTGCACTTTGAGCTTCCTTCAGTCTGAGGCAACATACAACCCCATCTTATACCCCTCCTAAGAACATACCGACTTCAGGGTAAAACATTCTCTCATCTAAAATCTGATTTTTTTTTTTTTTGAGACAGTCTCTCACTTTGTCACCCACGCTGGAGAGCAGTGACACTCAATTCACTGCAACCTCCATCTATCTCCCAGGTTCAAGCGTTTCTCCTGCCTCAGTCTCCCTAGTAGCTAGGATTACAGTCACCTGCCACCACACCCAGCTAATTTTTGTACTTTTAGTAGAGATGGGGTTTCACTATGTTGGCCAGGCTGGTCTCAAATTCCTGACCTCAGGTGATCCGTCTGCCTGTCTCCCAAAGTGCTGGGATTACAGGTGTGAGCCACTGTGGCCCCCTAAAGTCTGATTCCCTCCATTTGCTGTTCCCCTCCCACCTTCTTTATAATCTTGTTCGCTCCTCCCTATGAAAGAAAGCCCAAGGCCAGCCTCGGTGGCTCACCCCTGTAATCCCAGCACTTTGGGAGGCCTAGACAGGCAGATCACAAGGTCAGGAGTTACCAACCTGACTAACTCGGTGAAACCCCACCTCTACTAAAAATACAAAAATTAGCCAGATGTGGTGGGACGCGCCAATAATCCCAACTACTCAAGAGGCTGAGGCAGGAGAACCACTTGAACCCGGGAGGCAGAGTTAGCAATAAGCCGAGATCGGGCCACTGTACTCCAGCCTGGGAGACAAAGCATGACACCATCTCAAAAAAAAAAAAAAAACGAAGTGACAAAATTCCTGAACTCACTCTGGGAGGAAAAAAAAGGTAAAAGAATTTTTAACAAATGGAGTATGTAATTAGGTATTAATTTTTTCCTGAAACTCTCTTCTTTTATGCCCTTTGTAAACATTTCTTACCTTTCAAGCCCTAATAAAATGCAAGTCAAAATAAGTAAACAAATCTTTTCAAGGTGACAAACCCAGGAAGTGGCAGTGCTGATCATAAAACACATCTGTCAGTAGGTGTGGTGTCTCACACGCCTAGGACTTTGGGAGGTTGAAGCAGGTAGACTGCCTGAGCTCAGGAGTTCAAGATCAGCCTGGACAACATAGTGAAAACACACACAAAAAAACTGGCCACGTGTGGTGTTGTGTGCCTGTAATTCCAGTTACAAGGGAGGCTTCGGCAGGAGAATCGCTCAAACCCGGGAGGCAGAGGTTGCAGTGAGCTGAGATCATGCCACTTCACTCCAGCCTGGGCAATAGAGCGAGATTCAAAAAAAAAAAAAAACAAAACAGATTTCTCAGACTCATGTATCTAGACAGGTCACCCAATCACTTGAGAGATCTCCCACCCCATCCTGATACTTAAGGGCTCAATAACCACCCTCTCAGAAGACACTGCACTATATCCGAGGTGTACCTTATTTTGCAAGTTCTTGTACCATCTCAGTAGGGTCAGGTTTTTTGTGTCTTTTGGGATACTATTTTTTTTTCCACAAATCTTAGAGAATCCTGGGGACAGAAATAATTTTGGTGTTTCCTCCCAATACCAGCATGTGATTGGCTGACCAGCAATCTTTCTTCAAGAAATGAAAGCCGTGCTCGCTTCGGCAGCACATATACTAAAATTGGAACGATACAGAGAAGATTAGCATGGCCCCTGCGCAAGGATGACACGCAAATTCGTGAAGCGTTCCATATTTAAAAAAAAAAAAAAAAGAAATGAAAGCCAGGTTGAGTGAAGACAACCTTAATATCTCAAGGGGTAAGCTTTTCAAAGGAAGAGTAGCCCAGGAGATGCCTCTCAGCCCCAGGGCATCCACCTGCTCCTTGAGAGGTCACATTCCATAACTCAGTTTGTCCTGTGAGATAAAATGACCCAGGAGATGGTCTTCACTAGACACTCTAGCAGACATTGCCATGGTAGATATCTTTCCCCAGGTAGTACTTGAAACCCAGGACGAGGAAAAAAACTAAAAGGTGGCTGAGAACACATCACCCTATAAAGTTTCCAAAGGGAAACCAACCGTGACCCAAAAACTTTCTGATAAGATCTCTGTGCCTAGGGAAGATAAAAAGAAAAGAGGCACAGAGATTTACAATACAACGTCAGGGGATTATTCTTTGCTTTCTACTCATGGGAAATATTTACAAACAGAAAACAAGTCTTTTAAAATGTGCCATCCAATGCTTTAACAAAAATGATAAAATACGGCATCGAAAATGTACACTAAAGGACACAGAGTTGATTATGTGAATTAGGGAGGGGAAGCTGGCATTTGCAAATGTCAGAAGAAACTGGAAATTTAGTATTTTGCTGCAAGCCAGAGTTTGGCTGGAGGAATGGCGGATGGCGGGGGTAGACTTGTGACCCTGCTTAGGACACATGTGAAAACTGCAGGGGAAAATCACTCCCCTGTGGATGTGAAAATAATTAAGTGGGAGGCAATTAGACTGAGATGGCTCTAGTCCCTAGGTTCCTACTTTAAACTAACTCAAATGCATTTTGCCGGTCGGGATGGGGGGAGGGGTTCGGTGTAAATTACACTAAGGGAAACAAAATTCAGGCTTAACCAAATGTAAACTGCCAATTAACCGCTGATTATATGACCAGGAAATTTCCACCTTAATTATACAAATTTAAAAACGACGTAACGGTACCTAACCAATTATTAAACTTGTTTCTTTCATTATTCATCTTATTAAAGTGTTTCCTTCAAGCTCCTCCCAAGGTGCTCTATAACTCTTGAATTACTCTTTGACTAAATTCTTCTAACAATTTTTGCAGTGACTTTCACAAATTTTTAATAGGAAAAAAAGGGCCTGGGAACCCCATGGACCAAAGCTCTTCCCATTCATGAGCCCCGCACCCCGCGTCAGGATTCTCCCCGGACGACCCTCCCGTGGTCCCCGCACAGCCGGGGAGAGATGCGGCGCTGCGGGTGCAGAGCTGCCCGGAGAGGGCTCCAGGCCAGGGCAGAGTCGCTGCGCAGGGAGGAGACAGGACGCCCGGGGTCCGGCTGTCAGCCGCCATCTTATGTCCGAAGGGGACTGAGGGCCGGGCTCGCCGAGGAGAACTCGGGCCGCGGATTTTGGAGCCGACTGCGGGAAGGCCCGAGTCCCGCCACAGCCACTTCCCACCGGTTCCAAGCAGACCCTTCCCCCCCTCTCAGGATGTCGGACCCGGCAGGCTCACCATTTCTAGGCTTCCAGGGGTCCCCGGCGTCTTAGCTGTAAACCTTCAAGTTTTTGCAGATAACAGGGTCACAGCAGCCGGGCCTTTTATGGCAGAGGACGCCAAGCAGTGAAGACAAGACGCCAAGGTCCGGCGGCAGCGAGACACAAAGGCCCCGCCAAATCCCGGAAGCTGCGCTGTCGGCTCCAGATGCGTGCCTGATTGGACGGTTCCCAGCCCAGCGTCCCTAACTGGATAACGTTCAAGACCCCGCCCCATCAGGCCCTGAGTGACAGAAGATGAGATCAGATGCCGGGCTGACAGCCTAAGCTGCAGCCTTTTCAGGCAGGGCTCCCTCCCCGAGCTGGGCCAGGCCCATCCCACAGAGTATTTGCATTTAACCTTGTCAATAAGGCCACATGCATTTATAAATAATATATTGTATGACTATTCACAAAAGGAAATAATGTAATAGCAGTTACTCAAAATTTTCCAATTTAATGATCTTCCTGGCTTCTGGTTTTTTAAGCAGGCAGCCTGAAATTTTAAAAAGAAGGCAATCCTCTGAAATAAAATTTGGGCGACACGTGAATTTTAAATTTTGTAGGAGCCAAACTTTAAAAAGAAACAAGAAACAGGTGGAATTGATTGTAACAATTTAATTAACCCAGTATATCTAAAACCATATCATTTTAATATGTGATCAATATGTAATAACTAATGAAATATATATATTTATTTGGAACTAAATCTTTGAAATTAACTCTGTATTTTACCTTTCTAGCACATTGCAGTTCAGACCAGCCACATTCCAGGCAGCCAGTAGCCACATATGGCCAAATAGCTGCCACACTGAACTGCAGCTCTGACATCAGACAGATGAAGGGCCTGAACATCCCTTTTCTGCCAGAAGTACGGAGGGGACAGCCTCCCTTTACCAACATCTCTCTTCAGTTTTGAGGGTGGAACAGATAGTGACCATAGAAACAGCATAGGGCAGCAAGAATAAAATAACCATAGGTACACCACTGCTGGCCACTTGTTGCCCATTTTTCTTCCAGAGATCGGATAGTAAATAAAGCTGATGGGACCACAGGAGATTAAAACTATGTCTTCAGTCTCTCCCCACTCATCACTTCCAGTGTTTAGATGTGAAGAAAACAGATTAAAGGCAAACTTGTTTTGCTGTTTGGCTGGCCCTAGTGCCCAGGCTGTGTTTATTTGTTTTCTCCTGCACCTATCACATGCAAACATGTCTACATGTTTTTCTGCATTACTCAATATTATCTTACAAAACATCCAACTTTAAATCAGAAAAAAAAAAAATCGGTACTTTTAGGGTGCCCACTAATAGAAGGTAACTATAACAACCAGTAACCAACCTGTCATTGAGTCCTGACATCCCATCTACACTGGGTGCACGTATTAGTTAGGTATTGCTGCAAAACAAACCAACAAAAATTTTTTTAGTGGGGTTTATAAATTTTCTTTTTTTTTTGAGATGGAGTTTCGCTCTTGTTACCCAGGCTGGAGTGCAATGGCGCGATCTCGGCTCACCGCAACCTCCGTCTCCTGGGTTCAGGCAATTCTCCTGCCTCAGCCTCCTCAGTAGCTGGGATTACAGGCACGCGCCACCATGCCCAGCTAATTTTTTGTATTTTTAGTAGAGACGGGGTTTCACCTTGTTGACCAGGATGGTCTCGATCTCTTGACCTTGTGATCCACCCGCCTCGGCCTCCCAAAGTACTGGGATTACAGGCTTGAGCCATCGCGCCCGGCCCCTTTACTTTTGTTTCAGATATTTTTGTTTTTGAGACCGAGTCTTGCTCTGCTGCCAGGCGCCAGGGTAGAGTGCAATGGCGCAATCTCAGCTCACTGCAATCTCCACCTCCCAGGTTCAAGCAATTCTCCTGCCTCAGCTTCCCGAGTATCTGGGACTACAGGCATGTACCACCATGCCCAGCTAATTTTTGTATTTTTTAGTAGAGACAGTTTCACCATGTTGGCCAGGTTGTTGTTCTTTTTTAACTATTTTTTTTTTAAGATGGCATTTCACTCTTGTTGCCCAGACTGGAGTGCAATGGCATGATACTGGCTCACTATAACCTCTGCCTCCCAGGTTCAAGTGATTTTCTGCCTCAGCCTTCCTAGTAGCTGGGATTACAGGCATGTACCACCACGCCCAGCTCTTTTGTATTTTTAGTAGAGATGGGTTTTCTCTATGTTGGTCAGGCTGGTCTCGAACTCCTGACCTGAGGTGATCCGCCCACCTCAGCCTCCCAAAGTGCTGGAATTACAGGCTTGAGCCAGCGCACCTGGCCCATCCAAGACTTCTTAGCTCACTGTTGAGATGGTCAGTCATTTAAGCTGCGCTCAGTGGAGCAATTCTTGCAGTCTCAGCTGAGCTCCTTCAGACATGTGTTACCAGCTGCTTGTTAACTAGGCATCTGTGCTTCTGGTTGTGCACTTCTGCTTCTGCAGCTGTCAACAGGAGCACCTCGCTTCTCCTCCCCATGATATGTTATCCTCCAGCTGCCTAACATGGGTTCTTTTTCATGGAGATGGCAGCATTCTGAAAGAAAAACAGAAGCATTCAAGGCCCCAAACTAGCACACTGGCATGGTCACAGGTTTTTACTGCCTTGAGCAAATAAGGCCAGCCAGATATAGGTTTCAGAAAACAGACTCTGGATCTCAATGGAAACAGCTGTAAAATACCTGGCAATGGGCCTGGATACAGAAGGGATAAAAAATTGCTACCATTTTTGCAATCAGTATCATTCTGCCTCTTTTTTTTTTTTTTTTTTTGCATATGTGATTTATAGAACTTGTCCACATCAAAAAACTTGTTCAAAGACTCACAGCTACTAAGTGGCTGGGCTGAGATTCAGGAACAACTCTGTCTGACCCCAAAGCCCATGCACCTGCATAGATCACACTACTAAAGTAGCTGCCTTAGATCCTTGAAATCCTCGAGAGTGACACTTCTAGAATAGATGTCAGATTCCTTTCAAATCTGTGCCCATTTAGTACTGTTTAATTATTGGTAATACTCCTCTCAAGAACTGCAGATGCACACAGTGGCTCACATCTGTAATTTTAGCACTTCGGCAGGCTTAGATGGGAGAATCATTTGAGCTCAGGAGTTTGAGTGCAGCCTGGGGAACATAGTAAGATCTTGTCTTCATGAAAAAAGTTTAAAAAATTAGCCAGGCATAATGGCTTAATGGTGCATACCTGTTGTCCCAGCTACTTGGGGAGCTGGGGCAGGAGGATTGCTTGAACATGGAAGATCAAGGCTGCAGTGAGTCATAATTGGATACACCACTGCATTCCAATCTGGGAGATAGAGTGAGACCCTATCTCAAAAATTAAAAAAAAAAAAAAATGCAGAAGCATTTTGAAAGAATGTAGAATAATTTGGGAAAATAGCTGAGGGATGAGCTTAGAAAATCAAAGCCCAACACATTATTTATTTTTTATCATAAAAAACTTAAAAACAACCAACTTTAGAGATATTAAATTTAACAGTTTAATTGAGAAAAAATTAATTTCAAATCGGGAAGCCTGTGGATCTAGAGTAGGCTCAGAGAGACTCCAGCACAGCCTCCTGGTCAAAAATGATTTATGGACCGAAAAAACGAAAGCAACACACAGAAAATGAAAATGAGGTACTGAAACAGCCAGAGTGATTACAGCTTGGGATCTGCGTTATTTGAACATTGTTTGAACAGTGGACTTTTTTTTATTTCTTTTATTTATTTATTTATTTATTTTTTAATTTTTTTATTTTTTTGGGAGGGGGACGGAGTTTCGCTCTTGTTACCCAGGCTGGAGTGCAATGGCG